GAATCAGTAGCATGACAGCAATCATTAAAGAAAGAGAAACTTTGTGTTACCTGGGGGGGAAAAAGAAGTCTGAGCTTTTCTATGGACCCCTTTTCCCTCAGGAAGGCCAGAGCTCATAGTGGATCACCGCATTAATCCAAAAATGCTCTAATTAGGAACAGATCCTGCAGAAAGCCAAGTGATCAAACCTTTGTGTCTGTCAGTGACGTGCCCAAAATGCTTTGCAGCTGCAGCTGTTGTTGTGCTCCCCAGGGCCTGGGCACAGATGACAGCACGCTGATCCGGGTGATGGTGTCCCGCTCGGAGGTGGACATGCTGTACATCCGCAGGGAGTTCCTGGCCATGTATGGGAAATCCCTCCACTCCTTCATTAAGGTGAGCTCTGCAGCGTTAGAAACACAGGAGACAGGTCCCCTCTCAGCACCTCTGGGGGGTTTTAGAGGGAGTGGAATTAAGGAGGCTTTACATTTATGTACTGAAAACGGCCCTGAATGTTCTTGGTTATTAAATTGTCGAAGAGGATTCAAACCCTGCGACAAATCGTGTGTGCTGGAAGGAGTCCAGCCTTGTATGGAGCTGTGAAATTAATTGTGTTCCTTTTTTCTGCTCTCTCTAGGGAGATTGCTCAGGAGACTACAGGAAAGTTCTGCTCAGACTCTGTGGTGGGGAGGATTAAAGGAGGCCTAGGGGACTGTCTGGGTGATGGGAAGCAGCTGATCATGGAATCGTTTAGGTTGGAAAAGATCTTTAAGGTCATCCAGCCCATTAATTATTTCTTTCATATAATTTTTTCCCAAATACCTTATTAATTGCTCTGATTTTTGCCTTAGGTTAGTTCATGCTCTGGTTGATAATGGCCATTCTGGTTGACCATGGCCAATCTGCTTTTATGCTTGGCACACCCATTTGCCTACTCATTGGGCTGGTAAAGCCCAGCTTAAACAGAGTGCTGTAACCAAAGATATAAAAGTTAAATTGTTTCCTGACCAGATGCCCCTTTGCTGTTGTGTTCACCAGCAACACATGTCAAGTGAAGCAAACCTGGCTGCAGAGTGTGAGAGGCTGCCCAGGGAAAATCTAACCCATCAGTACCTGGAGAGTGCAGAACACAGGCTTGCTTCAGTTTTTCGAGATAATTAAGACACAAAGAACCTGAATATCTAAAATACAAGCACGTTTACATCTTAACTGGCCCTCTGTTAGTGTGGAGCATTAACAGCCTGGCTGCAGGGTGTGTATATGTTGCCTAGAGATCTGTTCATGGGGAAGATGTCACTGGTGACATCAGAAAAGCCTCTTGCTGCCCTGGTTAGAGCAGCCCCATGTTCTTGGTCTGCCTTCTTCACTCATGGGAGTATAAATAATAATGGTTATGTTACAAACCCTCCTCTAGGTAAAGTGATACCATTGGAATGGTGCCTTTTAGGGAATGACCTGTCCCCAAAATCCCACCTCATGGCCTGGTGCTGGGGCAGCTCCCCAGATCTCCCTGGGGCAGCTCCCCAAATATCCCTGGGGCAACTGTCCAAATCTCCCCGGGGCAGCTCCCCAGTGTCCCTGGGACACCTCCCCAGTTTCCCCCCTGTGCCAGCTCCAGCCCCATGTCACAGGGTCATGGAGGTGTTTGTGCCTGGGTCTCTCCTGGGTTTCCACACCAACCTCTGGGAGAGCCATTTTCCCCAGACCCTCCACACCTGCCTGTTCACCTGAGCACTGTTTTACTACAAAAATGGGGTTCTTCTTTGGCTTAGCAACTTATTTTTTACTGCTGGTGAATAATCCTGTTCTGAAGGATCAGGCTGAGGCTGGAATGTCACAGCTGAAACACTGAGGTGGCTGCACCCAATTCCATCACTCCTTTTCCTCTGAAATAGGCTGCTGCTGGCTGGAACAGGAGATGCCTCTGTGGCCTTCAATAAAATAATTTTCTTTCTCACTCCTTGGGCTGCCAGTGGAGACAAATTCCTGACCTTTGCCAGGAGAGGAGGCAGAGCTTTATCCAGTTCTCCCAAGGCCTCTGCTCAGGACAGGGAAAGGTCACTGCTCGGGTGGGGGGTGGGTTCCAGTGCCTTGTGTCAGGTTGCTGAGCTTTGAAAAATGAATAAAGAATTTGTTTCTGTACTTCCTGCCCAGGACTCCTGCACTCTGCAGGTGCCTCTTTCCCTCTGCAGGGCCCTGCAGGGCGGGGTGGGGGACCCGGGGCACTGTCCCTTGGGTGGGGATGGTTTATAAACCCCCACTGGGGGATCCTTGGGGTGGGGGGTGGGTTTGAGGGGCAGCCCAGCACCCCCAGCTCGGGCTGGTGCTCCTGCTGCTCCCCCCGGGGCAGCTCCTCTTGGTCCCCCTGTGCTGGGAGACAGGGACGGGGAGCAGGAGAGATCCCTGTAATCCAGGAGGAAACATCAGTGACCTGCTGAGCCCCTGGGACACCCCCAAGTCCATGGGCCCAGCTGGGGGTCACCCGAGGGCACTGTGGGGTAATTTTGCACAGCCTGGGCCAAGGGCATCCCCTCATCCCCACCAGGTTTAATTCCCATGGATTTAAACACAAGAGGGACTTGAAACCTCTTTTTACATGCTAAAAAAGGGACTTCAGCATCCCTTCTGTGTGCTCTGCCACTCTCTGGGTGGTACAAGGGTCTCCAAAACCCTCCTGCTTTGGGGGCACCACATCCCCTCCATGTGCTCCTCGTGCAGCTCTGTTCTCAACACACTGCCAATGAGTTCACCCAATCTGCACGAGGAGAGGCTCAAATCTACCCTAATCATTTATACAGAATCTGCTCAGGGGATTTTAGTGGTCACCCTTTTGCTTCTCCCTGTTCCCAAGTTCCCAGGGGAATTCACCCAGTGCTGGCAGTTGGATGTTTGGAGATGGGTGCCTCAGGGTCCCATCTGGATCATCAAACTGTTAAGGAAACTTCCCAGTCTGACCATTCCTGAGGCTCTCTGGCCATCACACTCCCAGCACCAGAGACTTCCACTGCTGGGACTGGAGCCCAGGGCCTGATTTTACCCTTTGGAAGATGATGTATTTCCAAGGTCTCTACTGAAGTGCAGGAATGCAGAGAAGCTGCTGGAAGGTGACCTTAACAGACTCTCCAAAAGAGGGTGATGATGTCAGTGGAACAGGTGGATGGTTCTCTGCAGGTTCAGTTCCATGGTGGGCACCCAGAGCTGTGGGAGTGGGAATAGCACCGAGGTTTTGGAAGTGCCTGTGCCAGCAGAGGAACGCCCTCGGTCTGTAGTGTGATCACAGAGCAGCTGCGGGAGGTTCCTTGTGTTCAGCTCACTGCCCCAGCTGATCCCGGGTGATCTGCCCTGGATTCCACCCCCTTCCCACAGGAGGTCAGAAACCCGAGGATATCGATAGTGTTGCTCAGGGCCCGAGGATGAGACTGTAACCTCGGCACTCCAGGGGATGGCTCCCTGTTCTGTTGTTGCAAGAATAGGGACTGGACTTGCTGGAGCCCAAGAGGCCCCTGGTTTGCCATGAAATGAGGGGATTTAGTGAGAAGATGCAGTCTGGAATTCTTGCAAAATGTAGAATACGTAAAAATTTTCTTAAGAAAGGATGTTCTTTGATGTTTGATCCTTGTACACATTCCAGCCTAATCAACAAGAAGGGAGATTTAATCCATAAAACAAACAGCAGCCAACAAACAAGCTGTAAGTGATGTCCAGGTGTTAGAAAAACAAATTACTTGCTGGTAGAATTGCCTTGTTAAAGTTTAGGGCTGGAGATGTTCCAGTGATCCCAGGCCGAGGGGGAGTCTAACTAAGCTTGGGAAGAAGGATGTACCTCTGACAGTGGGCACAAGGAATGCAGAATTTACAGGCCACAGAGACATCTGGCAGGACTCCTAAGGTAAGGAAGAAACTGATAAACCCAACGCAGTAACTGGGCTGAAATCAGCTCCAGCTGCTCAAAGGTGATTCCAGCAGGGGCAGATCACAACCAGCAACCCAAGAAACCCCCCGACCCAAAGGAAGAGAAAGACTGGGCATGCAGACTAATTAGTATTAACCAACAGAAGACAGAATACTAATTAATAAGAAAACTATGTAACTGGTAGCCAATGAACACTAGTTCCTTTGTTTGCTCAAATGTATAAATAATAAAGTTTCAATAGTTGGTGTGCTTGATTTGTGGAACTCCAGTGATCACCCAGGCTTGTGCAGCTTTGACATGAATAAATGTCCCTCTTGAGTGTGTCATTACTGGAGTGTTGCAAAAGTGGTGAAGAATCCCATTTTTTGCAGACACTGGGATCCCACAGTGCTCTGAGCTCTGGCAGCTGCAGACACACCGTGCTGGGGCACTGCAGGGCCTGGTTCCTCCAGCTGAACGAACCCACACAGCGGGAAGGGTCTGATCCCTGGAAAACCCCCCGGGACGGGCCGTTCGTGGGGCAGGAAAATTCCCGTTCAAGGGGCAGGAAGGGGCCTGTTCCTGGGTCAGGAAAGACCCACTCATGGAGCAAGAAAGGCCCGTTTGTGGGGCAGAAAAAGGCCCATTCCTGGGTTGGGAAAAGCCCATTCCTGGGTCAGGAAAAGGCCCGTTCCTGGGTCGGGAAAAGGTCTGTTAAGGGGCACAAAACAGCCTGTTCAGGAGCAGGAAAAGGCCCGTTCCGGGGCACAGAAAGGCCTGTTCCTGGGTCGGGAACAGGCCTACTCAGGGGCGGGAAAAGGCCCGTTCCCGGGGCACAGAAAGACCCGTTCCTGACTCGGGAACAGCCCCGCTCAGGGGCAGGAAAAGGCTCAGTCCCAGGGCACAGAAAGGCCCGTTCCTGGGGAAGTAAAAGCACGTTGGTGGCTCGGGAACGGCCCCGCTCAGGGGCAGGAAACGTTCCCCGGTCCCCGGAAGCCCGTCCGGGGCGGTTCCGCCGCGCAGGCGCAGAGGCCGCGGCCGCCGCCGGCCGGGGCTGAGGCGCCGCTGCTGCTCCCGCTCCGGCCCCGCTCCCGCTCCGGCCCCGCTCGGCGCGGCCTCATGAGGCGGCGGGGCCGGGCCGGCCATGGGCGCCCTGGGCAGCCGCGTCCTGCGGCGGAGGGGACCCGTCCCGCGGGGCGAGGCGGCGGCGGCCGCGGGCAGGGCCGGCAGGAACGGCAAGAGGAAGCGCGGCGGGGCCGCCGAGGGGCCCGGGGACAGCGACAGCGACGGCGACACCGAGCGGGACGAGCGGCTGCTGCACCCCCGGGGCCGCAGGTCTGGGGGCCGCGGTGACCCCGGGGGGGGGGACGGGGCAAAGGGGGCGGGGGGGCAGCTCGGGGGGCACCGCGGGCTCCCCTCGGGAAGGGTTACTGAGGTTTTCTGATTTAGTTTTTGAATTTATCGTGTCCAGAATTGGCTTTTTGGGGGGGTTGGGGGTTTTTGTTTGTTTGTTTGTTTTGCCGTTTCGGTGCTGTCAGAGGGTTTAGGATAAGCGTCCAGCCCCACAACCGAGTGTCCTGCAGGGCCCCGGCACAGCCGGAGCTCGGGGGGCTCCGGGCCCCGCTGCCCCCAGAGAACGGGTCTGATCCCCGCTGAGTGTCCGGGAATGACACACTCAGGGGAATGACACACTCAGGGGAATGACACACTCAGGGGAATGACACACTCAGGGGAATGACACACTCAGGGGAATGACACACTCAGGGGAATGACACGCTCCAGGGGACCCGGGGGATTTATCTCAGGGTTGTGCTGCCCCGGCTGCTCGGTGGAGTCCCACGAAGCACACCAGCTATTGGAACTTTTTACTGTTTATACATTTAGCAAAAAAAAAAAGAATTAGAGCTCATTGGCTACGAGTTCCACAGTTTTCTTATTAATTAGTATTCCAGTATTCTGCTGGTTAATGATATTTTCTTTTCCAATACATCCACGTGATTTTTATTTAAAAAAAAAGATATTTACATGTACAGGTTCTGCGATTGAGTCAGTATAATTTCAACACTGTGCATCAAGACAGGCAGCTCTTTCATGGGTAAAATAAGTTGTAAATAATTATCTCAAGGCTGTCAGGGAGAGGTTTGGGGGTGAGGCCACTCTTTGGAGTCAGAGGAGGCTCTGGGGTGCTCGGGGGAGGTCCCATTAGCAGCAGTTTTCCCAGATTTTCCTGATTTCCTCATTTTGACTCTTATTTCTCTATTTCCCTTCAAATTTCCCCAAAATTTCCCCCCATTTTTGCCTTGAATTTCCCCAAATTTCATCGATTTTCCTGTTTACTCTAATTTTTCCCAAATTTCCCAACATTGCCCCAAAATTTCACCAATTCCCCCAAATTCTCCAAATTTCTCCCCCAAAGTTTACCAAAACTTCCACATTTTTATCCAGGTTTCCTATAATTTCCCCTAAATGTACCCAATTTTATGAATTTCCCCCAAGCTCCCCCATTTTCCCAAATGTGCCCCAAACTTCCCCATCTTTGGCCTGATTTTCTCCATCTTTGCTCAAATTTTTCCATTTTCCCCTAAATTTCCCTCATTTCTCCTCAAATTGCCCCATTTTCTCAGAATTTTTGCCAAGTGTTCCCATTTTCACCAAAATCTCCTCGTTTCTGCTTCTAATTCCCCTAAATTTCATCACTTTTCCTAATTTGATGAAATTTGGAGACTATTTTGCGAATACCTTGGAGTTCTGGGAAGTTCCGGATTTCCAGGGGGATTTAGGGCCAATTTTATCTCCTTTTGGGGCCGATTTGGTTGAATTTCACACTATTTCAGCGAGTTTTGGGCAAATAGTGGCACAGGCAGGGAGTGGGGAAATGGTGCCAGCCTGGGGGAGACATGACAGGGAAAATCCTGGGCTTGAGACCCACTGCTGCTGCTGTAATGGGACAATTGGAAGGAGTGTCTCACTGTTTGTTTGGTTTGTTTTTTTTTTTACTAGGAAAAAATTGAAAAGCACATCGAAATACATTTATCAGACTCTGTTTTTGAATGGGGAGAACAGTGATGTCAAAATCTGTGCTCTGGGAGAGGAGTGGAACTTGCACAAGATTTATTTGTGTCAGGTAAGTGGCTCCTTTCTAAATCCCAGTAGGAACTGTGCTTTTAGTAAAAAATGTCTGAGAACTGTGAAGTGTGACTGGAGATTTATCCTTTTTTTCCCCCCGCCTTTTATTTGGGACCTTCACTCTTTTTGTAGATACAAACAGTTAACCAGCTCCTGTTGGCAGTGTTGGGAAGCAGAGCTGCATCTTTGTGTTTGAAAAGCTTCTCTCTCTTCCTGTGTAATTTTTTTGATTCTATTTAATTTATTTTATTCTTAGTCTCGGTGCATCCTCTGTGAAAACAGTCCTGAAATTTGTCTTTGATGTCCTGAGAACATGTTCCTGTTTGCTGAACAGGTGGCTGAGTGGCTCTTGTGATGTGAGCATTCTGTCAGGGCACAGGATTTGTAAGGCCTGTGGTGCCCCAGTTCAGTGTTCCTGTCCCCTGGGCTCGGGGACAGGGACCTGCAGGGACATTGGTGGTGCTGGCTCTCTGTGCTTGCTGTTGGTTGGTAGGAGCCCTCAGGAAGGGTTTCTTGCAGCTGCCTGAGGAAGGTTTGCACAGGAGCTCTAGGAAGGAGTAAATCTCAGTGAGAACCTGCCCAACACCCGCTGTGTGTACAAACCTTTCCTCTGGGCCTGGTTCAGGTGCAGTGCTCTGTGCTTGTGCTTCAAACACACACTGTGTGTACAGACCTTTCCTTTGGGCCTGGTTCAGGTGCAGTGCTCTGTGCTTGTGCTTTGGGAGCACAGAGGTGCAGTTGGCTTTGCTGTGTCCTCTGTGTCTGTGGCAGGAGCAGAGCTGGCAGGCACAGCTCCCTCTGCCCCATGGATGGGCACAGCCCTGGTGTGGCCTCAGGCAGCTGGTGTTGCTGCTGTGTTCTGTCACTGTGGCTGTGGGTGCTGCGTGTCGAGTTTGTGGAGCTGCTCCTGAAGCCTTTGCCTGGTTGGTGACTGAAGTTGGGTGTTAAATCCCTCCTGTGGATGCAGCTGTGTGGCAGGGTTTGAACACCGTGACTTTGCTCTGCAGAGGCCTCGCTGTAGGAGTGATGTTTTTTGGGAGAGGAACCTCAGGGGAGTTCAGTGTTCTCATCAGGCAGGTCCTGTTGCAGGTCACGCTCCAGCATTGGAATTATGTTGCTGTAGGTAAAATAGTTTTGGAGGTTAGAAATAACTGCATGTAAACGACTCTTTTAATGCCATTGTGACTCTGAACTGCTGAGCAGCCTTTCTGAGCCTGTTTCAGCTCCCCTGGTCCCTCAGTCACTGGCTTGAGCTGGATAAAGGACAGTCAGGTGCTGCTCTGACTGTTCACAGCAGCTCTGAGAAACGGGGGATTTCTGTTTTCTGATGCTATTACTAAAATTATAAATTCTTATGCAAATGGAGAGTGATCTCCATGGCCAAGCTGAGGCAGCCTCGTGAGGAGGGTGTGGTTAGTGAGGTCCTGGGTTTGAGAGGAGTGTGTTGTGTGCCATGGTTAGGGATGCACTGAGGGGACAGAAATACTGACCTGATCAAAGTAAATCAAAACTGGGGCTTGTGTTATTTGCTGCCTTGGGCTGAAATGCTGAGTGAAGAGGTCAGGGAATGTGGTACAAATAGACTTTATTTTTTTGATCTCTCAGGTAAACTTCATTGATAGCATCTCATAATGGGCACATCTGCTGCTGGGAAGGAAAATCAGGAACCCTAGTAGAGCATTATCTTTCCCTTCATTTGGATGGAAACCTCTCAAATTCTAGTTTTATGTGCCTTACACTTAATAATAAAAGGTATATTGCTGTAAATGGTGTATGTGTCTGTGTCCTTGGTATGAGACTACAGCCTTGTACAGTAATTTGTATGTCTTGCATGCCTTTCTTTTATTTTTCCCCAGTCCCCAAACTGGCATTCCCTAATGCCTGCAGGATTTGTTGTCTGCTGGTAACATCAAGGACTTAGTTCTTGGACTAATTCTGCCCCCACTGGTGGTGTGGTTTGTAGGAAAAGAGCTTCTGTGGCTTTTCTGGCCTTTTAAAGCTCTTTTCTTTGGTCACACCCATGTAGCCCAAATTTCCTGTAGGCGTTTTCAGTGTCAGAAACAGCAAATACAATTGGCCCCTTTTGAATCTGTCAGAATGTTTAAGCTTGTGAAAGTTTCCTTAACACAGTTTGTTCTGCATAAAGGTAAATATTAACCATGTTTTGTTCCATGTGCTGCTTTTGACACTTCTATTGGGGATGAAATCTCTTAGTTGAGTTCTTTTTCTCTCCTCTTCCCTCCTACAGTCAGGCTACTTTTCCAGTATGTTCAGTGGCTCCTGGAAAGAATCCAGCATGAACGTCATAGAGTTGGAGATTCCTGACCAAAATATTGATGTAGAAGGTAAGTGGGAACCTCTTGTTTTAACAAAGCCCTGAGGGCAGAGGTTAAGTTAAACCTCGTGGTCCTCAGAGGTGGCACTTGTATTTCTCTGTTGTACAGCTCTCAGGGTGTGCTGCAGGGTTTGTTTAACTGGTGGGAGCTCAGTGCAGGTCTGGGCACTGCCACATCTCCTGTGTTCTGTTGGGGGGTCTGGGCTGGTCAGCACTGGCTGTTTGTCCAGAGCAGCTGAGATCACAGAGAAGGTGTGCAGAGAAGGGCTTGGCTATAGTTCAGGACTCTTTTAATGCCCCGTGCTCACTGCTCTGTCTCTGTTTGGCTCCTGTTCCCTGTGCAGCCCTGCAGGTGGCCTTTGGCTCCCTGTACAGAGACGACGTGCTGATCAACCCCAGCCGCGTGGTCGCCCTGCTGGCAGCAGCCTGCATGCTGCAGCTGGTAAGTCAGGAGTGCCAGGATCTCTGTCTCTGCCTGAAGAGAGGCAGAACAGTTCATAAAACCCTTGCCAGCATGTCCTGTTTCACCCAGAGAAATGAATCAGCTTTTCAGGCTTAGTGGGAAAAAACCCAAACACAACGCGGAGGGTTTGTTGGAAAGTGCTGTGGCTAAGATTCAGGTGTAAGATTAAGTGCTGCTTTGAGTCATATCTAAAAGTAGATTAAAATAGGTTTTGCAGCTCATTTTCTCTACCCTGAAGGCATTCATCACGCTTTTCTTTCGTGGGAAATATTCTTCAGGCAAGTCTATGTGAGGAACAATGGTTGAAACGTTTTGGGCAGCGTAGCACAGGTCACTGCAGCCTGGGGGACTTTGGGGGTGGCTCAGGCAGGAAAATCCGCATGAACTGCACAGTGCCTGACATTTCCTGTTGGGAAATGAACACTCAGAATGCTTGTGGGTTTTTTCCCTCCCTGCAGGATGGCTTAATCCAGCAGTGTGGTGAAACAATGAAGGAAACCATCACCTCCCAGACCGTGTGTGGGTACTACAACTCTGCGGGCACGTACGGGCTGGACTCCGTGAAGAAAAAGTAAGAATTCCTGTCTCTGAGCTGCTTTGGACATGGCTAATTATCAGTGAGTTTACACACAGTACAATAATGCCCAGGTTAATTGTTTTATTAGAATAGAATCATAGAATTATGAGGGTTGGAAGGGACCTTTAAGATCATCCAGTCCAGCCGTCCAACCAGCACTGCCACTTTAACCCCTAAAACCTTAGCACCCAGTGCCAGATCCATACACCTCTTAATTCCAGGGATGGTGACTCCACCACCTGCCTGGGCAGCCCATTCCAGTGCCTTACCACCCAAACAGTGGAAACATCTGATCTGAATATCTTCTGTCTCAGCTTAAGGCCATTTCCTCTGGCCCTCTCACTGCAGGCACAGCAGAAGAGACCAGTCTCCACCTCTTTACAACCTCCTGTCAGGGAGTTGTGAGCGATGAGGTTACCCCAAGTCTCCTCTTCTTGAGACTCAGCAAGCCCAGCTCCCTCAGCTGCTCCCCAGCAGACGTGTTTCCTGGATCCCTCAGAGCCCTGGTGCCCATTGCTGCCCACGCAGCAGCACCTCAGTGTTCCTTTGGAAGTGGGGCCAGACCTGCAGGCAGCACTCGAGGTGTGGCCTCCCCCGTGCCAGGCACAGGGGACAATCACTGCCCTGCTCCTGCTCCACACTGTTCTTGATATAGGCCAGGACCCATTGGCCTTCTTGGCCACTTGGTCTCACTGTTGGCTCGTACTGAGCTGGCTGTCAAGCAGCACCCCCAAGTCCCTTCCTGCTGAGCAGCTCTCGAGCCACTCCTCCCCCAGCCTGGAGCTGCAGGGGTTGCTGTGACCCAAGTGCAGGACGTGGCACTTGGCCTTGTTGAACCTCATGTCATTGTCCTCGGCCCATTGCTGGGGTCTGTCCAGGCCTCTCTGCAGAGCCTTCCTGCCCTGCAGCAGATCCACACTGCCACCCCCCCTGGTGCTGTCTGCAAATGTCCTGAGAGCACAGGTGACCCCTTGTCCAGATCCATAAAGGTGGTAAACAGGACTGGCCCTAAACCAGCCCTGGGGACACCCCTGCTGATGGGCCCCATCTGGATTTATGTCCCTTCCCCACAGCTCTGTGGCCATCAACCAGTTTGTTGCCCATCCCAGCCATGAGCAGCCGGTTTCTCCGGGTGATGCTGTGGGAGATGGTGTCAGACACTCCACTGAAGTCTGGACAGACACATCCACAGCCTTCCCCTCATCTGCTGGGTGGGTCACTTTGTCAGAGAAGGAGATCAGGTTGGTCAAGCAGGACCTGCCTTTCATGAATCCACGTTGGCCGGGCCAGGCTGTCCTGCCCGTGCCATGTGATGGCACTTTGGATCCCATCCATAACCTTGCCTGGAACTGAGGTCAGGCTGACAGGCCTGGAATTCCCTGGATCGTTCTCCTGACCCTTCTCATAGATGGGTGTTACATTTGCTGCTTTCCAGTCAGCTGGAACTTCTCCAGTTCACCAGGACTGCTGGTAGATGGTTGAGAGTGGTATGGCAAGTTCTGCCAGTCCCCTCAGTGCTCTGGGGTGCATCCCATCAGGGCCCATGGACTGGTCACTGCCCATCTCCTCCTGGATTACAGGGCCTTCACTCAGCTCCCCATCCCTCACCTCCAGCTCTGGGGGCTGGGTGTCCTCAGGACAACTGGTCTTGATATTAAAGACCAAGACAAAGAAGGCATTGAGTACCTCAGCCTGTTCCTCATCCCTGTCACTACATCACCCTCTGCATTGAACAAATGATAGAGACACTCCTTGACCTTCCTTTTGCAGTGTATTTATAGAAACTTTTGTGTTGTCTTTAACTGTAGTGGCTAAATCAAATTCTTCTTGGGCTCTGGCCCTCCTAATCCTTTGAAAGCTGCCTGATTTTGGCTTTGCTCATCCTATTGTTGGGGTTCTACTGTCATCAACTCCCTTAAAATCCGTGCAGATTGTGGCAGGTTGATTGGCCTGTGCTGTGACTGAGGGAATCACAGTAGTAAGGACAGTATGTTTGGTCTTGAGTGTGACAGTGAAGTAACACATGATCACAGACTGTTTCATCAAAAAGTGGCTTTAATATGCAGAGTTCAAGCTGAACTTGGAATGAGGAGGGCTGATGCCACATTTGGGAGCAGAATGCTGAGAGCTCCCACCTGCTTCCTTGTGCTGTGACTCAGTGTGTTCTCAGAGCTCTGTGTGGCATTGACAGTCCTTGGAATTCTGCTTGTGCTGTGCCCTTGGAGAAACTCAGTGCAACTTTAATGAGAGCTTCAGAAAATTTCCTGGCAAACTCCCAGTGTTTGAAAGAACTGGGTTTTTTTAATATTTTTATGCATTTCTGGCTTGGGTTAAGGCAACATTTCCCAGTCCTGTGGGGCAGCATCAGGCTTTGTGAGCCTGAGCACCTGTTGCAGGAGTGTTGACATAGAGGAAAAACAAGCAAAGGTCTTAATTCCTTGCTTTCCATGCAGGTGCCTTGAGTGGCTCTTGAACAACCTGATGACCCACCAGAGCATTGGACTCTTCAAAGAACTCAGGTACTGGGGCTGCACTTCCCCTGCAGGGATGAAGGACAATCTCTCCCCAAGTCTAGAGCTCACTGCAGATCATTTTCTGGGCTGTTGCTGGTTGGTTGTTCCCTGTCTGCCCTTCTTCCTTTTCTCTCCTGTCTCACTGACCTGTTATGGTTGATTTTTTTCAGCATAAACCTTATGAAGCAGCTGATCAGCTCCTCTAACCTGTTTGTGCTGCAGGTGGAAATGGACGTGTACACTGCTCTCAAAAAGGTACTTCCCAAGGGGCTGCTGGGGCTTGAGGCAGTGGAACCTTCATGGGATTGAGTGAAAGTATTTAACAGAGTATCAGAACCCCTGTAGGAATGAATGCACTATGGCAATATCTCTCATTGATGCATGGATCACTTATTTAAAACCTTCTTCCACTGACTCACTAGAATTTGTTTGTTTTTCCCAGTGGATGTTCCTTCAGCTCGTGCCTTCTTGGAATGGGTCTTTCAAGCAGGTGTTGACTGAAGCTGATGCCTGGTTTGCCGAGCGCAGGAGAGGTAGGAGGAGTTGCCTGGCCTTGGTTTGGGGTTTGAATGCAAGTGATTTCTTAATTTTAGTGGCAAATGGTGACTCACCTGCCCATAATATTGATCTCTGATCAACAAGTAAAAACTCAAATATAAATAGGGGCTGGCAAATATCAGGGAGAACAAGTTGTGATGCAGGTGCTCTGTGTTGCAGAGTTTGGGGGTGATGTTGCTTTCCTGGAATCAGCCCAGGGAAGTGCATTCCTGCCCGTGTTCTCCCATCTGAGGCTGCAGTACATCATCAGTGACCTGGCCTCGGCCAGGATCGTGGAGAGAGATGCCCTGCTGCCCTCAGGTGAGTGAGTGCTGGGCACAGCTGAGGCCTCTGCTCAGCTCCTGCCATGGGTTTGGGGCACCTCACCCCCAGAAGGACATGGAGGGGCTGGAGGTGTCCAGGGAAGGGAACAGAGCTGGGAAGGGGCTGGAGCAGCTGAGGGAGCTGGGGGGGCTCAGCCTGGAGAAAAGGAGGCTCAGGGGGGACCTTCTGGCTCTGCAACCCCCTGACAGGAGGGGGGAGCCGGGGGGGGTCGGGCTCTGCTCCCAGGGAACAAGGGACAGGAGGAGAGGGAATGGCCTCAAGCTGTGCCAGGGGAGGGTCAGGCTGGATACTGAGGAAATTCCTTTATTGAAAGGGCTGCCCAGCCCTGGCACAGCTGCCCAGGGCAGGGGTGAGTCCCCATCCCTGGGGGGTTTAAAAGCCCTGTGGATGTGACACTTGGGGACATGGTCAGTGGTGGCCGTGGCAGTGCTGGGGAATGGTTGGACTCAGTGACCTTAGAGGGCTTTTCCAACCCAAACCATTCCATGATTCTACTCAGCTGATCCCATTCCGTGTGCCTTCCCCAGCCTGTCCTGCCCTGGAGTCACTGGGAAGGGCTCAGTGTGTTTTCTTGTCTTACTGCTCACGTGTTTCCTTCCAACATCTGTTTGTGGCTGGAGATTCAGCAGAAGCTGAGTATGAAGATTACAGGCATAAAATCATTCTGCTGATCAGTCAGATTATCAAAGTCCTCTGCAGTCAATACATAATACATTATCAAACTTTAAATGATCTCAGAGCCCCAGAGATGCAAAAAAAAGTCTTTTGCTTTTGAGAGAGCAAAACTTCCTGAGACTCAACTGTTTTCTTGTCATTACTTTCTAAGAAGAGCTGGGTAGGTTTTGATAGGATTTGGAATAATACCTGAAAGTGAAGACCAAAAGCACAAGATTCTGTGAACTCCTTCTCTCTTCCAAGACAAGTGATGTTTACTGACAGATTTAGGATAATTTGGGGCAGAAAGGATATTCAAAAATATTGCTCTTGACATTTTATTTGCACTTTGACTTGTATAAAATACATCCTCCTTCTAGGGCCATGTGCTTTTTGAAGCCCAGAGAGGGAAATGCCCATGTTATTGGAGATTACTGCTGTTACATCACAGTGTCACTGGAAAATGAAAAGCCCCTTCTCATCTTGCTGCTGAAATCTGAGTGCCCAGATCTCTGTTCCCTGCTCAGCAGCTGTGTGAACCTGGCTGCTCTTGGATGAATAAGGCTGGAAATGGGTTATCAAGCTGGGCTCTCACTTGAAAATGTTTTCCCACTATCATCCCTCTCTCTTATCATGGGAGACACGTGCCCCTCCTTCTTCTTCCCTTTTCTTTTTTTCTCCCTTCTCTCCCCCAGGTCAGTTGTGCTCCTTGTAAGTGTTTGGAGCTCTCATGCTCCCCCTCTGAATTTGGCTCCTGGTGTCCTTGTTCACATTTCCCTCTGGTCAGTGCTCCCTTGGCAGAGTTGAATCCTTGCAGTGATTTTTTGCATCTTAACTCTGCCAGTTTTCTCCTGGCTGTCACATACAGAGTTTGACATGGGTTTAAAAAAATATAACTGTCCATTCATGTGCTTCTGTGATGTCTGTGTGTGGGTGTAATAACCACATGCCAATTAAAACTGAATTTATTGAGCTGTTTATCACTTTTATCTGTAATTTCTAGACATCTGTGTTCTTGTCACCTCTCCATACTTGAGGTATGAAGTAGATAAGTCCACTCCTGCAGCATTGGGGGTCACAGTGGAGCCCTGCCTTATGTAAATGTTTAACCTGTCTTTGAATTATGCTGCTATAAAGTTAATTTTTTTTCATCTCATGTTGGCTTTTCCCTTCATGCTGCTGTAGATGTCAACATGATGCTGTGATGCTGAGTTGGGTTGTTTCCTTTGAAGCCTGATGGAATTGTTAGATCCTCCTGAGAGGCTTTCCTTGCCATTGAGCTGGTGTAGGGTCACTTCAGTTTGCCTTTCCTGTGCTGCCATGTCCTGTCTCTGCCAGCAACAATGACTTAATCACTCTGTGGCTGAATGTCTGAACAACCCTGAGCTCCTCTCTCTGCCCCTTTGAAATGTTGGAAAGGTGTTTTCAGAAGCTGGATTAGGGCCCTCTGTGCCTGTGGGGAGGGAGCAGGACCTTTCCTCCCCAGAAATCTGCCCATCTGACTGAAAATGAAGTTGCTGCTCAAAGGGACTGGCTTTCCCTCCTTCCAGTTCTGGTTTAAATTAGTGCCTTAATGGCTGGAGAAGGGACTGTTTTCTGCACTGGGTCTTTCTTATGAAGTAGAAGAGGAAGGAACTCTGTTCTCCTGTGCTCAAAATGCCCCTCTCAGGGTGTTCTTTGGGCATCAGGGGGAGGCAGCATTTACACACGGGTGGGAGTGGTCTGGTCTGGTGTGCCCACATCACACTTGCTTGACCTCCAGCAAGTGATAACATTTTGTTATGCATAAAAATCCCCAAAGAACAGCTCTGAGCTTTGATATGTGATATTTTACATGATCAAGTGATGTATAAAGTAAATAGAATCCATCTTACTTCAGAGTGATATTGGTATAGGTTATGTTCATTCTTTTTTTCTTGTTCTTGAACAAGGTACAGGTTATAGGCACAGTGCAAAAGTCATTATAAAGAATAACTTTGGGTTAATGACCCTTTAGATCCTTAATTTAATGATGACAGAGGAGAACAATGCACTTTATGAAGTGCCTTTGTCAGCATGTGAATAAAATGTTGCAAACCAGCAATTTGCAGGAGCTACATTGGTTGCCATCTCTTACCATTTCTGTGGTTCTCACTGCCCAGCTGTGGGATGGGCTGGGCTGGGCTGGGCTGGGCAGCCTTCTCATTTACTCCTTCAGGGAGTAAATGTTGTGTCAGTTCTCAGACCCAGAAGCCTTTCCCTGTGTGTGTCAGAGGAAGGATTCTGACAGGACTAACTGCAGCTCTGAGGCTGATTTCTGGTGCTGGTTGCAGCAGCATGAGGAGTTGTGTCCCGGCTCCAGGGTGTGCAGAGCAGTGCTGGTGCAGTGCCCTGCCGTGGCTGGGTGGCACTGTGGCACAGGGGAAGGAGGAGCAGCTCCTGTGCCAGGAGGATCCCGTGTGAGGATGTGCTGGCAGAGCTTTGGACTCACCAGCCCTTGTAATCTCTTCATTCCAGCGTGCAGCCAAAAGCTGTGTTCAATCAAAACTGTTGCTCTTCCTTTGCAAGGAGGTTTAGATAAATCCCGGGGCTCACTTTGGAACAGGCTGCCAGCATCCAGCATTTCAGGGGATGCTTCATAGCTGAGAGTCTGCAGAAGGGGGACTTTGCTGGGGACCCTGTGTTCTGGTGGAAACCTTTTAGATAATTCTGGATGAAATTCCTCTTGAGGTAAAGAAGGAAATCACACTGAATAGTTGCAAGTAATGCTGTGATTATTTATTTATTCACTTTTATACCCTCTGTGTGTGTAGGGCCTGCAGGAGAAAACTGAAATTCTGTGTTAGGCGTTCACAGGACTGTTCTTTGGGCAGGAAAGATGCAAGAGACAGAAATACATAATGTGTCTGTGTGAGCACAGTGTTCATTGTTCTGTTTTACTTGGTGACTTCTGAACATTTCCTAAGCTGTGCTTTCCTTCCTAATGTCTAGAAATTAACAGATGAACTGCAGTTGAAATATGAGGTATGAAATGGATACATACACATAAACAAATAGAGAAGATGCTCTCCCTCCTGGTTTGCTTTTATTCCTTCCCTTCTGACACATCCATTCTATGGCCCTTCCCTGTGCAATTTTCCTTAATTCATTGTTACACTTTGTTGTACTTCGATGAATTCCCAGTTTGCTCCTGTCACAGTCTGAATTCTCACTCTAGAGTCAGTAGGACAAGGGCTGGTTTTAATTTCTCCTTCTGGGAGTTGTAAGTCGATCTCAGCCATGTGATCTCACCCCTCCTCCCTTCTGTCACCTCCATCAGCTCCTGCTCTGGTTGTGGTCCCAGTGGTTCTTCTTCCTCTCACCCAGCCCATTCCCCCAGTGCTGGTTCTCATACATGACCTTGCCCCTGTTCACTATCTTGACTGAGAACTTCCTACACCCTGTGCTCTTGGTGCCTGGGATCCCCTTTGTGTAACTGCCTGACAAACTGTTTGGGTTTGTTCCGTTTTATCTCTCGGTTGCAACATTAAATTAACAGAACTGATAAAATCTTTGTGTGTTCTCCAAGGAAGACATGAGTTGTGTTTATTCCTAGTAGGGCACAATTTCTATTTGTTTTACTATATCTGTGCTAAGTCACTGTTTCCTTTATCCTTGATTCTGTTTTCTTCTTGTGTAACTTGTGTAAAATTCCGCTGGGGATTCAGAAAGCAGCATCTTCTCCCAAGAGGTTGTTAACAGGCTCCTTGGCTGAACAGAGCTCTGTGTGCTGAGAAAACGTGTTGAGTTGCATCACTTGTTGAAGTGGTGAATGTTTGAGGAGATGAGCATAGTCTGGAGTTCCTGCCTCTTGGCTGTGGGTGTTTCTCTGTATCCCTTCTCCTGTGGTTGAGGCTGGAACTGGAGAACACAGGGAGCTATCGGGGGGTTGGTTGCATGGGCCATCCAGCTAACAAGTGTAACTTCATTACTTCAATGTCATTTTATTTCTCTATTTCAAATGTTTATGACCATCCCCATTCCCAGCAGCAAAGACAACAAGCTTATTTATTTTTTTTCCATTTTAGAATGGCTGTCCTCTGTTTACAAACAGCAGTGGTTTGCCATGCTCAGAGCAGAACAAGACAATGATATTGGGTAGGTATATTACAGGCTTTCTTTTCTTTCTTTCCTAAATTAGAAACCTTCCTCATATAAATTCTGACATGATTAATTTGGGAGTTTACATTAAGGGGGGGGAAGCATATTTCAGTGTTTTTTTGGGGGGGTAAGGATACTTTAGTGGTTTTAAACTGTTGCTCTCTGTGGGGCTGCCTGTTCCCTTGGGCTCCCATCCTTTAACCAGCAGAACTCTGGGAAACTGGTATAGTGGGACCAGAGGGCAGTGCTGGGTGGGGGACACACGTTCTGTATTTTCTTCTATGTTGGTTAATGCTTCTCACCAGCACTTTGCTTTGGAGTGAGTGTCAAGGCTGCAAAAGGGTCATTTCTGAGCCTTCCAGTTTCAGGGAACTTTGGGAACAGTGCTGCAGATGGAGAAGCCTGTTCTGTCCTGGGCTGGGTGGGCAGAAGGCTGGGGGGCAGTGGAACTGTGTTGGTGCAGGAGGCAATCCATCCTTTTTTGTTTGTGCAGGGATAACTCCACAGTAACCTTTGTTTCTGCCCCTCCCATCCCAGCCCCCAGGCAGCGAGCGAGGGCCCAGCACCCAGCAGGGCCCAACATCCTGTCACCTGTTCCCCCATTCCCCTCTCCTTTCACAGCCTTTCTCCCTCAGGGTTGTGTTTGACATCTCTCCCCTGCCAGCTCTCCAGCTTTCCCCAGGCAGGGCATCCTTCTCCACTGCTGAGACCCCATTCTCTCCATAATCCTGCAATTTTATATCCCATCTTTTCTCCTTCCTAGACCACGTGCTGCACGGTGTTGGCATTGCCTTGGCAGTGAGGAATTGCAGCTGAGCTGGGGAGGTTGGGGTTGGATCTTAGGACAAGGTTCTTCCCCCAGAGGGTGGTTGGGCACTGCCCAGGCTCCCCAGGGTTTGGTCACGGCCCCAAGGCTGCCAGAGCTTCAGGAGGGTTTGGACAACACTCTCAGGGACAGGGTGGGATTGTTGGGGTGTCTGTGCAAGGCTAGGAGCTGGACTCGATGATCCTGGTGGGTCTCTTCCAGCTCAGCATATTCCATGACTCTCTGACTGTGGAATTCCCTGCCAGCTCCCCGTGTGTGGGGGGTGTTTCCATGCCCTCCCCAGGGCTGGGCTGGGCTGGGCTGTCCTGTGTGTAAGCCCTGAGTGGTGTCTGGGATGCTGAGCCTGTCCTGGCACTGGGCTGTGTGTGATTAGTGTGTGTTACATGTGTGTGTGTTCCCCCAGCTGTTCCCCTGCCTCCTGCTTGCTCTTTGCCACGTTGCCATGAGCCAAGTCCCCTGAGCTCTTTCCAAACACCACAACTGTGGCAAAATGCAGCTGGGGGAGTTGTCCCCGTCTTTCTCTTCTCTCCTGGTTCCTAAAGTGCTTTGTGGAGAATAAATGCCAGGTCAGGCAGCTGCAAAATGTCTGTAACCTTCCAAAACCCAGCAAACCCAGTGGTTTATTTCTCCCAAGGCTGTGCCAGCCCAGCGTGTGGAGATGTGCAGATGGACAGGTTGGGTTGCAATGGGACAGTTCACTGATTGATCACAGTGAAGGGGTGAGAACCACTGACCTGATCTGAACCAGGGGCAATGTGGGTTGGGGCTGTGTTCAGTTACAGATCTCCCATCTTCCCTAAAAGTGAAAGTCTTCCCTGTTCTCTTGCTGGACTTCCCTGGCAGTAGCAGTTGAGGATTATTCAGGTGGAGGGTTTGGCTGGATCATTACTGACCAACCAACAGCAAGTGGAACTGTTCTTAAATACATACAGTTCTGTTCTGAAACAGCTTGTGCTTTAGCCCCAACACCCTGTGGTGTGGCTCCATAGCTCAATTATATTTCCTTAATTGCTTTCTTTTGATGTTATCATGTAATAGTGTAAAAAATCCCCCAGCTCTGATCTTAAGAATGGTCAAGATCTTTAAGAAGTGGTTCTCCTCAGCAGCAGTGCTTTGGGAAATGGTGGAGGTGAAGTACAGAATTGTGACTCTCATATTCAACTCCTAATGATTAATTTTGGGTGGCCATAGCTTGTTTCTGATGTGGTGTTTTCTTGGGAAGACTTTTGCACTGCTGCTGTGGCTGCATCGGGGAGCAGACAAACGTACCCTCCTGGCTCGTGGGGAACCAGAGTTCATGGGGAAGTGAGCATTAGGTCACCAAAATTCTGACACCAGGTAGGACCCTGTATTTGCTGATTTGGATGTGTTTTGGTAGTTCACTGCAGTGCAGTGGGAGCATTAGAATTGTCAGCCACAGGATATATGAGCTGCTGGAAAAGTGAGCTCCCACAGCCTGCAGTGGGGATGATGGGGATCATCCAGCTTGGGAAAGAGCAGCTTTCATGTTCAGCTGCACCTGAGGGTTTCAGTGGCTCTTGGAAGGAGAGGAGTGTTTTTCCTGTCTAGTTTTCCCTTTTGCAATCTGGGATTTTTTAAGATGTTTTTAAAGGCAGAAATGTCAGCACAGGCAGCTCAGCCACAATGAGCCTCGTGCACAGCACACGGTCCCTGAGGAGATCCGTGGGGTTTGGGGGCCTGGGAGCTCTCCCGTGCTGCCACCCTGCATGAGAGGCCTGGGGTTGGCAACTTGTACCTTAGAAGGGAACCTGTGCAACTGTTCCTTTGTGTTAACACAGATATCTTGGCTGTTTGTCCAACCTGTAGCTGGAAGAAAAGAATTAAGGTTTTATAAGCCCATCCTTTACCCAGCTCTGCCACTCCTCCTCCCACACCTGCTGCCTGTGTTGATATCCCGACACATTTTTTCCCTCAGAGGTAAGGAAACAGCCTTGGGAATCGGAGCAAGATGTGACTCTGACTCCCCTGAGCTGAACTAAGGCTCTATTTCCACACCCCCCCTGGAGCAGAGTGTCACTGCACCTGCTCATCCCAACACTGCCAGCGTGGAAATGGCACTGCTTGGACATGTGGGATGTGTTTGCTCTTGGTAACTTCAGGGAGGGGGAGAAGAAAGTGTTTCTCTTCTACTTGACAAGTTTGCATTTAAAAGGACTAAACATTTTATTTGCTCTTCAGGAGTGGTGAATGTTTTAGTGTAGCACTGGAGTTTGTGGCTTGGAACTGGAGCTGCTCAAGGTGCTACTTGTGCTAAAGTGGATCATTTTTAATTAAACATGTGTTCTGTGGCAGAAGCCAGACAGATCTTTTGAGCCCAGAGCTGGATAGTTTCTACTCTAACAGTCTCTTTGGCAGTGTTTGAGGAGGAAATAGGGTAACTCAACTGTTCTCTGTGTGGCAGCTGATGGAAGTGGTTAAAGCTGAAGTTTTGCATCATCTGAGGCTGCTCCAGGGGTGGGGAGGGGGATGCTAATGTCTGTCTGAGCATTATGGACTAATGTTTGTGAAATTTGTCACTAATTAAACAGAAATAAATCCTTTATCACCACTGCTGCATTTAGGTCAGCCACAGAACCAGTTCAACTGGAAGATGTGGAAAAGCACACGGGAGGTTCTTGGGTGAATTTGGTTACTGTGATGAGTTTATGTGCTTAACCTGTTCATAAAACACTTCATCTCCCAGGGTTGGTTTTTGTAGAAATGGAGAGAAAAGACCCAGGCTGTGTTCACAAAAGCTTTAGCTGCCAGTTCCTGGGGGGTGTGAGCAGTAGAAGAGAACAGATGCTGCATTTCTTGTGGCTTGTGGAGCTTGGAGGATGTTGTTGGATCTTGCAGGTGTATAGTTTAACCTGTGGGGGATTGATGTCTCCGGGGTTTGTACAGCTTGGCCTGGTGTCACTTCAAGACTGTCTGGCAGTGGAGGTTGGTTGGCTGATGAAGTCACTGTGTGTGAAGTGAGTACCACAGCTGGAAAGCTGGGGCTGCTCTCCCTCCTGTGGCTCTGCAGGGCTGCTGGACGTGTGGAAGCACCAGAGGAGACTGTTGGGTGGAAGGAGCTGCTGTTGGTGTGGGATGGCAGCACAGAGAGGCTCTGGCACGTCAGGAGCACTGAGGGGAGCGAGTTTTTTAGGCAAGTTGTGTAACCAGCCCCTTGAGAAACCTCTCAGTGTCTCGTGGCTGCTGCTTCACTGCACTGCTGCTCTGCAGGGCCCTGCAGCTGTGCCCCAGCACCACTTTCTGCTTGGGCCTGGGAGATGGGACTGATGTGTTTAAAAAGGACTTGGGTCTTTATGAGGCTTGGAGAATGTGTTTCACTGCAACAGCTGTAGCTTTGTTATCTGGAAAAGTTCTGTTATAAAAATCCTGCCTAACTGAGGTCTCACAGCCTGGTTTGTGTGGCAGTTTTATAGAGTAGTTGGATGTTTATGGGACAATTCAGGGTGGAAGGGACCCTGAGAGCTCATCTGGTCACACCTCTGCTCAGAGAAGGGTTGGCTGTGGGTCCCTTCCAACTCAGGGTGTTCCATGATTGTGTGGTCAGACCAGTTTACTCCAGTCTATTCATCTTTCCCACATTAAGGTATCATACAAAGCTGTTGAAGTGTCCTTAAAGATGCCCTTTTATTTTTTTCAGGCCCCAAGAAATAAATAAAGAGGAACTGGAAGGGAACAGCATGAGGTGTGGTCGCAAACTCGCCAAGGACGGTGATGTAAGTGGGGCAAAGGCAAATGGCTCAGGTGTGTCAGGCATTCCCAAAACACTCAGGCCCCCACTGTCAAACTGCATCCAAAAGATGTCATGGAGAAAGAAATCATTTTGTTCTCCCCAGAAGGATGGAAACACTTGCTGTCTCTGCAAGGAGTAAGGGGTCGATGTTTCATGGTGCTCTTGTGCTGCAACTGAGACAGTGTTTGGGGAAACTGTTTTCATTTGAGACTGTCATCTGAGACTTGAAAAATACAGGCAGTAAAGAGAGCTCTGATCATTTTCCTTTTAGCTGGAAAAGGAACTTCTCTAGATAAAATGTGTAATAATCACAGCCAGAACCTCTGTGTTCCACGTACACATCTGTGTCTTTAGGTAATAGATCTTGTGAACAAACAGGAAACATGAATTTCCCTCTCTGAAGTCACTTAACCTCGGGAAGTTGTGCTCCAGGGAGTGCTTTGGGCATGGCTGGGGCCTGCAGTGAGTGCTGCTCACAGAGCAACCCCTTCCCAGTGCAGAGTGTTTTATCAGCACTTGTGCTGTGTATTTTTGTCTGTCAGGGAGGCAGCTGACACTCAGCTGCTCTCACAGCCCTCTGGCTGCCAGCCAGTGGTTCCCTGTGTGGGATCTTGTGTTTCAGGCAGATGTTGGCAGGGCCCCTTGAATCCCCCCATCTCTGCAGCCCGGGGTCCCATTCCCAGGGTGGACTCTTGGGGCAGTGGCTGTCACTGTTCCTGTGACACCATCCATTGCTGGGACAGTGGCTGTCACTGTTCCTGTGACAGTCACCATCCATTGTTGGGGCAGTGGCTGTCACTGTTCCTGTCACACT